CCCCCCCCCCCCCACCCAAGAGGCTGCTTCTGGGGAGGGGGTTAACATAAGGTGGGGTTTCCCTCCCCCACGTTCCCCCCCCCAAGCTCTCCCTTGGTAGGAGCAATAATATAAATTGCAACTCGGGTCTGTTCTTTTCTTTTCTTTTTCTTATATGCATCCATTTCATGTATCCATAACTATGTTTATTGCTTATACCTGTTATCTTATAATTGCTTGACAAAATAGATAAATAAATAAAGGTGAGGCCAGGGAGGCTTTCCCAGGCCTTGCTGGGGATGGTGGGCAAATAATAATAATAATAATAATTCTCCCCTCCTTTATTTTCCTTTTCTCTTTATTTCCTTCATGCCTTTCTTTGTGTGTGTGTGTTTTTTTTTAATGTTTAGAACAAGCTCAGGAAAGGGATAAAGAGTCACTTTCATGAGAGGAGAGAGGGGTGCCATCTACATAAATTTCATAGAGGTGATAAACAGGGATGGATGGGTGGATAGATAAGGAAGGTGGATAGAGAAGATACAGAAGGTAGGTAGGTAGATTGATACAGTAGGTGTGTAGAGAAGATAGGTGGATGGAGAAAATAGGTGGATAGAGAAGATATGGTGGATGGATGGATGGATAGATACGGAAGGTGAATAGAGAAAATACAGGAGGTTAGGTAAGTAGGTAGGTAGGCCGATAGCTAGATAGATAAACATAAATGGATACAGTAGATATGTAGAGAAGATAGGTAGATGGAGAAAATAGGTGGAAAGAGCAGATGTGGATGGATGGATAGATAGATACGGAAGGTGGATAGAGACAATACAGGAGGTTCGGTAAGTAGGTAGATAGATCGGTAAATTAGATAAATTGACACAGTAGATGTGTACAGAAGATAGGTGGACGGAGAAAATAGGTGGATAGAGAAGAGATGGTGGATGGATGGATGGATACAGAAGGTGAATAGAGAAGATACAGGAGGTTAGGTAGGTAGGTAAGTAGATCGATATATTAGATAACTAGATGGATAAATTGATACAGTAGATATGTAGAGAAGATAGGTGGATGGATGGATGGATGGATGGATAGATGGATAGATAGATAGATAGATAGATAGATAGATAGATAGATAGATAGATAGATAGATAGATTAAAGAGATGAGATGTGAACTTGGCAAGGTCTGTGCTCTACTTTTTGGGAAAGCTTGAAGACCCAGAATGAGTGACCTGGCCTGGCGTGAGAAGAATTTTGCAGGGGTTTCTTTATTTTTTTTATACGGATAGGCCAACAGATGAGGTTATTCTCTCTCAAGGTGTCAAAATAAAAAGGCCTCTGAGGAAACAGGCTGTGGGCTGGATGCTATCCTGTGGTTGCCGTTCTGCCCTGGTAGGAAAGCTTTCAAGGGGGTGCCCTGCCTCGAAAGAGGAGTTGGTCTTATTATGTATGAAATGTATGTTTTGCAACCACTCCCAGTGACTCTGGGTCATTTACAAATTATATAAGATATTAACCGGTAAAATTGGCAAGAAACAGGAAAGATGAAGTTCCATCACCTCCATTTCTTTCCCCAGCTGGTGTTTTAAATTGTTTGGATATTTGCGTTTTGGCCTAGTTAAGTTGGAATGTCCCTTGCATGCATTCCACCAATAGTAAGGTAGAAAGATAATGTTTCCAGTATTTTTAAAATAATCGTGTCCTGTGGCATCTCATCTTTATGCCTTTTATTGACTGAGACAGCACCCTGCATTATAAATATAAGCATCCTTGGAGACAATGAAGGGGCATGTCTTAAAGTAGCTTCTCTGCTTTTTGGAAGGTTGTTTGTTTGTTTGGAATGGGCACAGTGGAAATTGAGACGTGCTGAGCTGTATTGCTCATTGTATAGAGATGGCTTGGCTGATTTGTTTATGCTTTAGAGAGGAGAGCTCTAGGGAGTGAAAACTGCTATTTGTAATATCCCAATATTACCTGTAATACAGGTAGTCCTCAACTTACAACAGTTGATTTAGAGGCCGTTCAAAGTTACCATAGCACTGAAAAAAGTGACTTACTGCTTTTAACCCGACCATTGCAGCAACCTGATCAAAATTCAGATGCTTGATAACTGTTTCATATTCATGATGGTTGCAGTGTCCTGCAGTGTTCCACAATGGGGAAGCCAGATTCGCTTAACATGTTAGTAACTTAACAACCTCAAGGATTCATTTAACAACTGTGACAAAATAAGTTGTAACATGAGGCAAAATTCACTTAACGAATTCTCTCTTAGCAATCTAAATTTTGGCTCAATTGTGGTCATCAGTTGAGGACTACCTATATTTTAAATGTTGTGGCTCTCTGCATGCCATTTGCCACTTACCAAGTTGTGAAATGCTCTTTCCAGAATTCTGTTATGTAATATATTTACATTTGTGCTCGTTGTAATCTGTTTGCTGAACATAATAGGAATTCATTTCATCCAATTGGCTTACAATATATTTACGATTTATTAAAAGATGTGTGTAGTGCTTTCCATAAAGCAATTTCTTAAACAATGAACAGGAAATAATAGGAACAGGAAAAATGTATCTTACAATTTATAATTCTAATAATACTGATCAGGACTTAATTTCCCAGTTGATACATGATTGTAAGCTAATTGGACATCACTTTTCACTTCAGTGCTGTGATTTAGGAAGCAAACAAGGGAAAAAGGACATGTTTTTGTAGTGTGAATAAGCCGTCTTCTCTCATTTTTATTTTAAACCTTAGAAAAGGAATTCTTGGGAAAGGAATTCTGTTGTCGGCCAGTAGTTTTTTTCTAAGGTAAAGCATTTAAGCATACTTTTTGGATTATCTGAGTGATTTCTTTGCCAGATGGTCAGATGGAAAAATAAGTATTTGCAGCTGCTTGTACTCTCTCTCGTGACTGTTCTTGGATTTGTTCAATCTTTAAGGAATGGAAGAAGAGTCTATAACTTAGGGAGAACCGTCCAGAATGATAGACATGGCATTTTTTTGGGTCCTTGCAGTGTCACGAGCCCAATTTGCAATTCTGTGAAAATATTGGAAAGGCCAAATTCTCTCATATATTAAAATCTTTTCATTATACAAGTATCTTCTTTGCAAGTGGTTTGTTCTTAATGGCCCCCTTTACACAACTGAAAGGGAAATGCTGCTGTTGGCTATTACCCATTGCTTGAGGGTAAAACTACTGAATGTAATGTGACTTACTTTGGAGGAAATCTGCATAGTTCAATAGCTAATTATTATGATTTTACATGAAGACATGTATATTTAAATAAAAATAATAAGTAACCAAGCTGCAAAGCCTCTGTCCTGTTTCAAAGCACATGGCGTTATTACTCATGGAATCTCTGGCTGTTTTGTGTTACGAAAAGAGTAACCACCATAAATGTGCATAAAATGCCTTTTATGGTAGCATTTAATCTTCAGCATATTGTGAGATAATAAATTAGATGCTTGCCGTGCTGATTTTCGTAGTCTTCCTAGCTGATCTTCTATCCCTGGAATGCTGTAAGCCGTGTCAAATACGGGTAAGTTTTAGGCTCCCAAGATCTACCTTATTTTTGAGGAGACTCCTAAGAGCCAGCTACTGGAACCAAGGGCAGATACGCCCTTCTCTTTTACTAATTCTGAACCCAAATATTCGTTTTGTGCACCGTGGCTGAGCTGAAAACTCAGCCCTACGGTGAACAAACTCACTTCCCAATTATTCAACTTCTATCATCATTTCAGCAGCCTGCCTGCCTATACAGTAATGTGCCCTAATCTGTGGTGATTTACAAATCCCTGCAAATCTCCCTCAGATCTGCACGATCTCTCTCCTGTTAATCTCTGGGTTTTGCCATCTAAACATAGACCATAGCTTCTTTGGCGGGGTGGTCCAGGCTACTTGTATCCTATAGAAAGTTAGTTGTGTAAATGGCATTTTTTGTGTAACCTGCAATTAGTTCTCCGGAGTGTTATATAGATCTTACCCTTTTCTCTTTGGCAAAGACCTTCAGTATATTAACTCTGCGCTCTATAAAAAACTACAACATTTCTTTTTTTCAAGCAACATCTTATTTATGTAATAGCACTAATCTGGCAAATTTGGAACCTGCACAGAACCACTCAACATCTGGGACTGAGAAGCAAAGTCTGGGTGTTCCAGTATGAGCTGTCATCAGATATTCCCTCGGCATTCAGCTCCTTCGATTAATATATCAGTGTTTTGATTCCGATGGCATGCATTCGGGATACATTTAGCATCCATAAAAGTTAGCGTAACTGGGCTGGTCCATTTGAATATTTCTTTGAGTACAGTAATATAGGGACGAATAATGAGGACAGTGGGAAATCTACTCTTCTTGCCTTAAGATATTTCTACTTATACAGTACTTTGGCCCTGGAATGGTGATCTTGAAATCCATAATGTTTTACGAGAAAGCTTCAGGCCTGTATAAAGCAAATCAGGGATTAATATTGCATTATGAGCATCCTCCTATGAATTTATTTTAATTTCACAGGAAGAATTATTTTAATAATATGGTTCTGCAAACAGAAGGATTATTATCTGTTTAGCGATTTGAGGAATTCTGTACAGTACTTTAGAAGTTCTTATGTAAATATTAGTCTGAGTTAGACTGTTGAGCAAAGACCTATTCCGCATAATGTAGCCAGCAACTCTGACAGAAGTTAACCCTGGCAAGAATAATTGAGTTCCCCCCAGAGGGAAAGTACCTTGGCATTCCTTTGACATGCTCCACACATCACGCCGTATGTAATAAATATTGTGCACTTGGTTTTTGCTGAGTACGTTAGCTGAATTC